CCCCCCCCCCACCCACACACACACACAAACACAATGCAGGCCCTCCTGTAGACTCTAATAGTAGATGTTAACAGGGTTATGGCCGTCCTTGTTAGCGTGTTAGGCCACAGCAAGTAAATTTTATGGATGAATAAAGATTAACACAAAAACTCTAACGGTCCCAAAAGTGACTGTATTCCCCCTCATCCTTGTTCATGACACGGGTAAATTTCCCGGTCCACATAGCCTCTCTAACAAAATGTGTACATCTATTGTCCTCTCTGTCTATTACTCTGGTCCGGTGCCAGTCTATTTCACATTTATTTCTCATAAGGCCATGTTGATTTGATTATATGGATGACATCCTCCGGGAGCCCCAAAACTGATGCGCGCGTGCGAATAAAAAAAAGTTTTGCAAAAAAAAAGTTCTTTTCATTATGAAATCTACATGGTCATGTGGGTTGAGCAAATGGCACAGAATATGGTTTGGCGAATAATCTAGTCTTCAAGTTCATTTCTTTACAATTTCGTCGTTTTTCGTTTGATTTTGGCATTCTACGACATTGGTATAGTTTTTATTAATTTTTTTGCAACTTATGGTATATTTTTGCTCATTTTGCAACTGTTTTGTACGATTTACTGTATGGTTGAATTTTTTTTTTTTTTGTAAACGGCCGAAAATTCATGCGCGCGCGGATGTCATCCATATAATCAAATCAACATGGCCTAATGTGGTCTGTCAGTGCTGATTTGATCAAGTTCTCTCGAGTGTCTTCCATTCAGTACAACTGAATTTCTACTTCATGTGTGCATTGCTTCGGGAAGCCTCCACATCTTCCTATTCGTCCCTTCTCTATATAGATTTCAGTTATATAGCATTGGAGCCATGCTGTATCGAATGCTTTCCTTGTGTCCAGGAAACATCCATACACTCTCCTTCCTCTCTCTTTGACTTTGTAGAGGTTCCAGACTTCCTGGACAATAAAGGCTGTCTTTATATTACGATCATGCCTGTACCCGGGAGGGGGTCTCTTTATGGCTTCAGAAACACCGCGCAATGGTGTGATGGAGACATATTGTTTTTCCTTATGTATGTCTCTTCTCGTCAGCTTCCCCCTTCTTCTCCTCCTGACATTTCTTTAAACGGATTCAATTTCTTCATTTTGTTACTAAATGACCTGAAATTCAGTATGGCCTTTATTTCCTTTATACAGGCTTTTTGAATCACGGTGGTCAAATCTGGGCTGCAAAGTTCCCACATTTCATAGAACTCGAACTCCATTGTGTTCGATCTGGGCAATTTGAATCGAACCCGCGTTCCGTTTCGGGGTCACCTGCGGTCATTTACAATAAAACGACAAAACAATCCTCTCTGCCCCCGTGCCTTGCAACAGATAAAAAAACAACACTTTTCTATAAATACAAACAGTTTCCTGGACATTACATGTCTGCTATCATTTTTTGTAGACATGTAACATGTAGCGAAGCTACTGTCGTATCCTTGGGTGACCTTGAATACTGTAATGATTCTTTACGCCAGTACGAATAACACAATGCATACTTTTGGTCGACATGACATGTTTGCAAACCTCTTTTAAACCTGCAAACATGGAGAGTCAAGCATACCCCATTCACGGCTCAAAATGACCGTAACGGTATGTCCCGAAAATCGTGTTTTAGGGATTTTTTTAAAAATGACCGTAATTTTGAATGATGGGTAATTTAGTGCAAAAGAATTTAAGAAAAATGCAATTTTTTTCACCAATATGTCGACAAAAACTAGACTTCAAATCAGAAATTAAAAAAGTCCTAAAACACGATTTTTGATCTTATTCCTAGTCGTCGAAAAATATAAATATCGGGGATCTGGGGTGATATACGTAGCCAGGTTTAAATGATGTTTGCTTAAAAACATGACATGACTTGTGCTTGGATACCCGAAAATAATCGTCTTTCTTAGCGAAATTTTGAAAAATCAAAGATTTAACATAAACAGCTGATTTTAAAAGGATGTTAAGACGATAATTTCATTTTAATTTGACGAAATTTACCATTAAATTCTTTTTGTTTATTTTCAAGTGTTTTACGTGTAGTCCAAAACATGCCAAAATAGAGTCTTTTAACCCGATACTTTTTCGAAAGAATGCCGTAGTGACAGACCGCCGTGAATACAATTGGAACCGCATACTTCCCTATGATGTAACAATGCCTAGTATGTATGTCACAATTACACTACGTTCCGGAATGCATTGTAAACAGTAAAAACTAGCTTAAGTGCACTGTGAACGATGTATCACCTTTAGTGCACTATGCACCAAGTAACATCTAGCGTCAGTACACAGTAAACCAGTCAGAATTTCCCTGATGAAGATGACAGACGGTCATCGAAACGTCGGCTCGTGAAAAATAAATGGTTGTGATCAAAGAACTTTGCTATTCATGCTTTTAGAATAGTTTGAATTGTTTTCTTTGGGGGGGGGGCATTTTCCGACAAAATCTGTACACAATGTTGTGTCCCTGGACCTGGGTGACTCATAGCAATAGAATGCAGAGCAAGAGCCAATAGTCATGCACCTGTTTTACTGTAGCAATGGCAATTTACATTGTACTAAAGCTGATTTATAGTCTATGATTCCTCGTGCATCTAAACTTGGCTCAATTGGTAAGCGACTTAACATTTTCCACTCACAAAGTTAGGAGGTCAAGGGCTTAAGTCCAGGGATTCTTAAAAACTTTTATCTTTTTTTAGTTGATAGTTAGATATTATTGCTATGTAAAGAAAGTAAATGTTTACTTTTTCTTGTTTTTGCCCATTTTTATTCATTTTTTTAATTTAAAACCTTTTCATTCCATACCCAACAGTCCCAGTGACAGGTTTGGTAATCTTGGCCGGTAGGCTTCAATACTCTTTCAGTGATGTCGAGCTGTGTCATTGAGGCGGGGTAACACTCTTTTAATAATCTATAGAATTAGCACAAATGCCCAAATTTATGTATGCAATAACGTAATAAGTAATGAAATACGCCCAAATTTTGCGTTGCGTTTTATTGAAAAACTCACGCTTTTAAACATTTTTGTCTTTCGCAGCCACTATGTGCGTTCCTTCCGTCCTTCCGCGTGGTTCTATGATAGCGAGGCATTGCTCCATGCAGATCCGATGTTGATGCCAAGCCCATACAAGCATATGTGGCATACGAATCAGGTAGAGACGAATGTAGTGCTTAGTTTATGTATTGGTTTTACAACTAACTAACAAAATTAACATTATCAGCAAACTACCATCAAGGTGATACAGTTTTAATGATGCAAGTAGAGGTAGACTTTTCTACCTTTAAAACAATATCTTCAAGCTCATTACAACTTTGCATACACAAGCTAAGCGAAACGCCAGCTTTTTCAAAAGTATTTCTTGTTTAAAATATGCTAAAAAGCTCTAAACCTGAATCCCCACATACAAGTTGTTTTCTTCCTTCATTGTTAACCATAGTTCTTATCGCCATAATGTTCATATGGGATCCAGGCTGACTGACTCACACTATTGCATGCAGAAACATGATAAAATGATAGGGAGCTTTCTAGACGTACTCTGTCTCTTTATCAACCCGATTCAGGTCTCGTCAAGAAGGTGACTCTAATAGTACATCTCGGTTCATTTCCACTGTTTGAAAACACCACAAGTCTTTCCTGGTTAGATACGTAAGTCTTTCCTGGTTAGATATGAAATTAACTTAGATATATACGTTGTCTCCTTTATATGCTCCATACAATAGACTATATATATATATATCACATTAGTATAAAAGGCGATATATGCCAATTATACGAATATGAGATATATTATTTTGACAAAATATTTATACCTAAACACACAATGAAAGTTCAGCTATGCTGGAGAGCTTTCAAGACGTACTCTGTCTCTTTATCAACCCGACTCAGGTCTCGTCTTGGAGTTCTCTTGTCACGTGACTTGATGGGATAATCACGTGACAAGAGACAGTCATATACAGGTTTTAGTTATAGGTTTTAAATATATTCTTGGTTATAATTACAATAATTACACAAACGCTACTTGTTATCCTAACGCAAAATTATGTACAGATCAAGAAAAAGTAGTCTACATGTAATAGATGGACAAATTCTTTTCCCCGGTTTTTCCCTATTGGTCTCAAGACTAACCCTATCTGATAGCCACCGAACACGATGGTCAGATTTGGGCCCAAAGTCCCACTCCGCTACTATGGAGATCGAATCCCCCGAACCCGCGAATCTTGTTCGATATGACGTCATTCGAATAGAGTGGGCGTTCGATCTGGGGTTACCCGCGGTCATTTACAGTAAAGCCGCTACAACCGGCTACTTCAAGCCCTTTTTTACTTGAAAACCACGGAACAAGAAAAATCCACCTTTCCACAAATATGAACCGTTTTCAAAACATTACATCTATGCCGTGATTTTATTGTGGATATGTAACATGTAACGAAGCTACTGCCGTCATCGTGGGTGACCTTGAAGGTCAGAATTCTTGTTGACGCTGTTATAAAATCCAGGTCCCCATATCCAAGTGGCACAGCATGCGTGCAAACATGGTATTTTAACCATTCCCAAAAATCGCTCAAATTACCTCATTGAGGGCTTGTTTGGAAGAGGAACGATTTCCGCAGATTTCTGTCTTAGGGATTTTTTAAATATGGCCGCGATTATGAATTATCGGTATTTAAAGTTAAAACACTGCGTTTTTAGCTCTTCTTTTGACTGTAAGTCGAGTTTTAGTTAAAAAATAAAAAAATCCTAAGACAGAAAGTTTAAATTTACTGTAATATTTCTAAAAATCCAAAAATCTAACCTTTTTTAAATTTTCGGGGCCTCTTAAAATCAGTTGTTTGGTTCTCGTGAACCCTTTTTGAAATCCGAAATTGATCTCATTTGGAAGCAAATGTACACAAAGTGGAGCAAAGGCAGTGCAAGAATAACATTTGAGGTAAACAAAATCACTTATTACATTTCATTTTGACGAGTATTTACTCTCCAATTACTTTTGTTTATTTTCAAATTTTACCCGTTGCCCCCGGGCCGGCCTGGGACTCCCGCGCGGCCACGTTCGAACACGTTCTGTAACCCGATACCTCCCTAGTAATGCGACTTTTAGCCTAGCAACCGACCGCCGTGGAATTAGTTTGGCAGCTCCGGCTGTGTATAAATGTCCTCTGAGCTGAATAGATAACAGATGAATGTATGAATAGATAAAAGTAGATGCAATTGTTACAGTCAAGTTGTGTTTCGTTCTGCTTACCTTACACCAATTCTACAAAGTGTCACAGACAGGTCATTTCTTTGAAGGCTCTGATGAACCAAGAGTTTACAGATAGAATATTTAATCTAAGATATGAGGTGCAAGATACTGCCGGGAAGGCGACTCTAGTAGTACATCTCGGTTCATTTCCACTCTTTGAAAACACCACAAGTCTTTCCTGGTTAGATATGTAAATTAACTTAGAAATATACGTTGTCTCGTTTATATGCTCCATACGATAGACTATATATCACATTTGCATAGAAGGCGATATATGCCAATTATACGAATATGAGATATATTCTTGTGACAAAATACTTATACCTAAACACACAACGAAAGTTCAGCTATGCTGGGGAGCTTTCGAAACTCTGTCTCTTTATCAACCCGATTCAGGTCTCGTCTTGGAGTTCTCTTGTCACGTGACTTGATGGGATAATCACGTGACAAGAGACCGTCATATACAGGTTTTAGTTATAGGTTTTAAATATATTCTTGGTTATAATTACAATAATTACACAAACGCTACTTGTTATCCTAACGCAAAATTATGTACAGATCAAGAAAAAGTAGTCTACATGTAATAGATGGACAAATTCTTTTCCCCGGTTTTTCCCTATTGGTCTCAAGACTAACCCTATCTGATAGTTTGGCAGCTCCGGCTGTGTATAAATGTCCTCTGAGCTGATAACAGATGAATGTATGAATAGATAAAAGTAGATGCAATTGTTACAGTCAAATTGTGTTTCGTTCTGTTTACACAGGGAACCTATACTTACAAAGTGTTACGAACAGGTCATTTCTTTGAAGGCTCTGATGAGCCAAGAGTTTACAGATAGAATATGCAATCTAAGATATGAGGTGCAAGATACTGCCAAGAAGGCGACTCTAATAGTACATCTCGGTTCATTTCCACTCTTTGAAAACACCACAAGTCTTTCCTGGTTAGATACGTAAATTAACTTAGATATGTACGTTGTCTCCTTTATATGCTCCATACGAACTATAAGCCCCATTGCACACATTCACCTTCGTATGGTATTGATCACACTAAAGATGCAAATGTAGTATGTATGTTCCACCAGTGGGGTTACTACCTTACTAAAGTTCTAAAAGGACTACAGCCCTTGTAAGGGCATGTCCTGGCTGCACATGCATGTTACTTAAAGCTGAATCAATGCATAATAATCAAGTCGCACTTTTTTTGGTTGTGTTAAGGCACGTTTACACAAGTGTAATTTACTTGCCCAGATACATGGTCATGGGCACGGCCACGGCAATGCTGATGACGTACATGACAAGGCAGAGCCTGTCCAGGACCTTAGCCAGCAGGGTGTAGTCAGACACCTCCTGCTCGTTCTTCATGGCCTCGGCCTGCTCCTCCATGTTACGGGAGGCGGAGGACACAGGAACTTCCAGGCGAGAGACAGCGGCCTCCAGGCGCGTGGGTGGCGCGGACGGCTGACGGGCTGTCTCGCGGACATCAGCCGGGATTTGCACGTCGACCACCGCCTTGGCATCGGCAGGGGAGACGCGGTTGGTCCGCTCAGGCCAGGCCAGCTTCTTGCTGCTGGGACCAGTCTCTCCATTGTCGCTTGCAACCTTCTTCTCTGTCAGATCTCCGAGCAGTAGGCACCTTTTAATTAACAAACACCACCAAGAAAAAATGAGGTCGATGTTTCTTTCTGATACATACGTTCACTCCCATATTAATAGGCATGTCCAAACGTTCAGATTACTTCATGTTCAAAATAGAAGCAATGAACAAAATGTTAAAATGTTACCAAGGTTGATACTTTAAAAATCAGACTGAATCTACAAAGAATCATCATCTACAAAGAAATATACAAAATCTACAAAGAAACGAGCCTAAAATACATGCTAATTTGCAGCTTGGAAGGGTAACAGATGCAGAAAAAGTTTTTAAAAGTATTAAGTTGCTAATTTGATTCCATCGTATAAAAATAGATAACGAATCTTTCCTGGTACGTTAAATTCATATCAGCCCAAACATGTAAAAGAGCCTAATAAACCTCCTTATAACTTAAAAACGAAACAACAATAAAGATGTATATGAGTTTCACTTGAAGGGCATTTGTCTATTTCTGTACATTTCTTTTCGGTCTAACCTGAGCTAGTGTTACGAATAGTACATACTTTGCCATGTAACGGAGAAAGAAGGTCTTCGCCATTGGAGACAGGCTCCCCTGCCTGTCATGAATGGTGATGATGGCCATGGTGAAGAAGAGGAAAAGTCCCATCAGCGCCATGCACACGACGATCAGCGAGGCTGTAACAGCATCCGTGGTTAACAATTATCGACATGTTCCGGGAATATTTACCATGGTTATTAGTTACCGACATGTTCCGGGAATATTTATCACGGTTAACAGTTACCCTAAGCAACCTCAACACAAAATACTAATGAAATCCAATGAGGACTGTAAATCTGTTTTGCTAAGACTACACCCGCTCTCGAACCACTACTTATAGATGGACGGACACTAGCGACAGTTGTTCACATCAAATTACTCGGTGTGAAAATACAGATGATCCCCGTAGCAAACAGAAAACTGTTCCGTTATCATCGTTGTAAATTATTAATTCAGAATTAGTGTCTGTACGAAGATAAAATTTTAGGTTTCAAGAATCACCCATTGATTTTCGCTTTAAGTTTTTTTCTTAACGGAGTCCGGCCTGGCCATGAGGAAGGTATCTAAGGGTTTACTTAATGTCGACCAGATAAATTCTACGTACTTGGGTTAAAATGTACAGGTGGCAGAAAACCAGATGAATGGAATCAAGAAGGCATTTTACTTTCCAAGTAGTTTAAAATTCTAAACTAATGAAAACATTTACAACATGGTCGCATCTATATGTTTACTCACCGAAAAATGGCAGCGCCCCCTTGACAGGAAGCACATCCGTCACGAACACGAGAGACACGACCACGGAGAGTTGAATGGTCACTCCGAACGAGATCCGGTCCCCCCCTGTCCAGTGGCATGACGAATGTGATGACCATCAGCGCCACCAGGATGACACAGGGTCCAACAGTAGTGGCGATGTGGAACAGCGGGATCCTCTCCAGCTGAACAGTGAAGCACGCCTCCGTCTTGTCTTTTGCGAAGAACATGTCCTTCCGGTACCATTCGCCCTCCAGTTGTTGGTTAGACAGGACACCACAGGGACTGCCATCTTGGCATTCTGTGTTCGACAAATCATTGCAATAAACTATCAGCAAAATAGTTAACTTTTTCATGACAAGGGTAGCCAAAAAGTATGCAGAAAAAATCAGATTTTATACTGACAAGAATCCGATTTTCCTTAATTTTTACATTGAATATGGGAAAGAACATATATCAAAACCATAATATAATCACTAAAATATCATCATCATTAATATCATCATTGGTAAACAGTGATCAAAATATTTCTGGATGTTCAAGGAATGTCAACCGTGACAAACAGCTGCCAGATCGCTCCGATAAAATATTATATTTAATTTACATCATTTTTATTTATTGATTTATATTCATAAGAATTATTTTGATATCGACATCTTTTTTTAAAAAATACTTCCAATTTCATACCGATGGTTGCAGAAAATGCAGCAAAGCAGATGTTGCATTCCATGGTGTCTGCAGGGAAGTAGAAGGGGTCCGCATCACACACGGTGGTGGTCAGGGTTTCTACCCTCCAGGTTACCTGACCATTGCTACTGATCCAGACCGGAACGATTTTTGGTAGGCCTTGGTATAAAGGATTGGCACTGTGGAGTAATCAGAAGTTTTTTTTTACAAGTTAATTTACTGGTAAGATAACCATCATCTAGTGTCAAACTGATTAAACCATTCCTAGCATTGTATCCCAGTGTCAACAAAAATATTGTCGGTCATTTTGTTAGTTATATTTTAAGGTAATTGTGTAATGTTTGGCACTACAGGATCATCTTTATTTAACGGGTACTTTAAATGACATACAAGACTTAAAATCAGTGTAATATTATTTTCATTAGTTTTCTTACAAGTAAAATGCTATTTTCTGCAGTTCAGGACATTTAAAAAGACAAAAGATCAGGCATGGTTCATTTTCGATTCAATGATAATAGTTTTAGAAGACACTACATACTTCCCCTTCAGAGTAAGTGTAGGGGTCCAGATGCTGCTGCCAGGGACGCTGATAGTCTCGATGTTGTCGTAGTACTTTGGATCCCATCTCAGTCGGCTGTCCTGCCATGTCTGGAGTAACAAGAAACAAATTATTACTGTGTAGGTTACAGCAAAGAATTATACAGCAAAATTATAGCAAAATTATGATGATGATAGAAAAACACATAAACATCGTAATAAAAACGAGACATGATTATATGAATGCGATATTATTCTAAGTGTACAGATATTTGATAACTACGTGGACTTACGAAATGGATGACGACAGAGGCAACCAGCTGCTCCTTCTTTTCCTCCTGAAAGATAAGTTACAGCATCGGTCAGTTATGTTTTGCTCCCTCCACGAACTGTCTATTTGTCATAAACCAACGAGGATTTGAAATGTGTTACAGATACTGAAACTCACCAAGTCGACGATCTGTTCTACAGATCCATTAAAGCTGATGACGGGTCGGATGTGGTTCTTAATCCGATTAGGGGTCTCGGTAGAGTTGCGGGTAGAGTTATCAGTGCCGGTAGGGTTCCCAGTGTCGCTAGAGTTGTCAGTGTCAGTAGGGTTGTCAGTGTTGGTAGGATTGTCGGTGTCGCGGACAACCCTATCGACACGAGGGTTGTCCGTGTCGGTAGGGTTGTCAGTGTTGGTAGGATTGTCGGTGTCGCGGACAACCCTAGCGACACTAGGGTTGCCCGTGTCGTTAGGGTTGTCAGTGTCGTTAGGGTTGTCAGTGTCGGTAGGGTTGTCAGTGTCGCTAGGGTTCTCAGGCTGGGTACGGTTCTCAGGCTCAGGTGCCAGGTTGAGATTGTTCACATCGAGCAGGTTGGCTTTCAGCCTATCCTCGAAATTCACTGAGGAAGAGACAATACATATTTTTCGTTAGGAAGACATATAATTTCCATCTATTGCAGTATGTTTCTAAATTGTTTATACAGGTCTACAGAACTGTATAAACAATTTAGAAACATACTGCAATAGATGGAAATTGAATGTTAATGTAACTAAAACCAAAGTTCTTATATTCGCGAAGGGAATACCAAACAAATGTCTAAATAAATTCTATATATACGGAAAGGAAATTAAAGTTACCGACAGCTACCCTTTTTTCGGTATACCTCTCACGTCTTTGGGCAAATTTAAAACCGCCAGAAAATATTTAAAAACTAAAGCAATGAGAGCGTTATTCAAACTTAAATCCCTTTTGTTTTCTGAAACTAACATTTCAATTCAGTTAGCAAAAAGCCTTTTCAACAAATTTGTGAAGCCGATTTTTCTATATGGATCCGAATTAACATGTTTCGACCAAACATCTAAAACACAAAAACTTAATGTTTCTACGCGTGTTTCAGAATCCACACCAAAAAAAAAATTTCTCCACTGTATTAGAGAAACTTGGTATAGAGGAAAACATTTCTGCTTCGGTTAGAAAGAGTTTAAGCTCCACTTGTGCCCACACATATGTGATTCATTTTGAAAGAAGGACAGATAAGGACATGATTTTTAATCTAGCGTCTCGTCTAAAATTAGAAAACGACAACTTTTCAATTGAAAATATACATCTTTCTCAACATATTCCAGAATTTGATGCCATCAAAATGAACTTTCAAAAATTTTTACTTTGATTTAATACAAAAGCATCAAATGATGGTGTTCGTGGAGAACTAGGAACCTTTTTAATAATAATAGATACTGAAATACAATTAATAAAATACTGGCATCGTTTTGTAAACTTGCCAGAAGACACCTTACTTCGTGAAGCATACGATGTTTTATATTCTGTTAAACACGATTGGCTTAACCACGTAAACGACATTCTGAATTACAATGGTCTTGGACAATTCTGGACAAACCCCGGATCATACCAAGTGAATACGATAACCAATCAATTACGATCCCGCCTTCATATATATATACAAAAATGGTATAATAATTCTATTAGTAACAACGCAAAATTTTCTGTTTATACCGCATTAAAGGAAAATTATGGACAAAAACAATACCTCTCAAGTATACCCAATCTAGATATCCGAAGAGCGATCACAAAATTAAGAATTAGTTGTCATAGATTAAACATAGAAATGGGTCGATACAAGAAAATACCAAATGACCAAAGGTTCTGTCATTTTGTCCAAACAAGATTGAAAATGAGCACCATTTTATAATGGATTGTACACTCTACAATGATAAGCTCCTATTGCTGTTCACCTTTCTTTCCGCTTGTTCAATTGATTTCAATACGTTAGATCCTATAGATAAATGCAACTACATTCTCAGGGGACATAACCAATACAGTGTTCAAATAGAAAAATACATTAAAGAATGTTTCGATCTTAGAGAACACATGTTAGAGAATAGTTAACCTTTATTGTTACATCATACATATAATCTGTATGTAAGATAACGTTATCCACACATGTATTTAGCTTTGTTAGATCTTTAGTTAAGTTGTAGAAGACCATACAAAAGTCTCTGTACTTTTTGTTGTGTCAATAAAGAATCTATATCAACAGATTTTTGAGATTGATCATGATGGTATATTTTGGCTTTACATTTTATATTAAAAGAAATCTAATAAAACTTTATAAGTTTGAATGTTGTTCATGCGTTCGATGTGTTTTGAATTAAAAATACTTTTGTGAATTATGACTATTGTTTATTTGTTTATTTAGGACCTTAACAAAGAAAGAATCCTAAAAAGGCACACATTTGCTCACCACATGCCGCGTACCAAAAATGGATCTGTCCCCCTCCCCACACACAGCCATTTCCAATACTCAATGTTATGGTCATTCTTGGAAGAATCATATTACGTAGTAACAAGTGGGCCCATGTTGCAGGTACATAAATTGCACCAGACATTATGTTAAATCTTTACAGATGACCCCCATAATCATAGGAAACTATGTCAATAAAGGTCAATGACCTTACCTACCACACTGCTGCATGTATCTGTAGCTAACTTGGTTGAAAGAATTTTTAAACCAAATTTAAAAAAAAAATGTTTAACTGGCAAGGTATATAAAAACATAGGTTATGTGACATATTTCCATTGATTTACAAATTAGTTCCCTCCTTTTTCCTGGCCAAAAGGACAAATATGTGCCACCACGCAGGTATTTTTTAACTAATTACTGAATAGCCAAATACGAACCACATAGATACAAACATGGCCACACCTGCTACTGTCTTTATGCTCATATTTGGACTTGGAGCTCCTGCCCCATGGTAACACATACTGCTATATAGGTTACCATTATATACATTACCAATGACATAGCCAAGAAGTCCAAATTAAATCATTCTAAAAGCCTGTATTATGAATATGACTAAAAAAACGTTGGGAGGGTGGCCGGTGATAAATAAAGATATTATAATATATAATTCATTTGAAGACTTGCCATGAAGAGGAGAAGAAAAAGTAGGAACATGAGGAAAACAATATATCTTCACTGCATCCCTACATGGTGAAACCATAATAAATGAAACATGACAGTGCAAAGGAGGTAGAAAGCTTAACTTTCTCGCTCTTAATCAATGTACATAACACTTGGAAGAATATTTAAAATAAAATATTATTGAATAGGTTTGGCAATAAGTAGGACTTACTTATTCTTCTAAACTGCATCAAATTAAATTGTGCAAGTGTAGAAAATGCAGGCGTACTCAGACCTAATAGTCATTCACCTGAACAACTGGGCTTGTTATCCTGCCAGAAGCCTCCTTCGACGCATCTCAGTTCGGTAGGATACCCGGGCTTTATGTAGTACCCCTCGTTGCAGGTGAAGGCGATCCTTTCTCCCACGTAGTAGAACCTCTTCATAGGGCTTCTATTGCCGTAGTCAGGAGGACCGATGTCCCAGCAGCTTCTAGTATCTGAGTTAGCATAGGCAATGGTAAGGTAAAGCAATCATTATTATGGAGAAAAGGACCAGAATTGAACTGTATAAAAAAGAGATCAAAGATTTGGCCTGGAGCAGAACAACACAGAGTTACCAGCTTCACAAACATTTCTAGATCACTCCTACGTATTTTGTTCTTGCATAAAAATAGTGTAAGGCACAGACACATGTGAGAGACTGAGAGGAATGCCTGTGACTTTGTTAGCACTATATTACTAATGAGTGAATATCGTCAGATTAGAGTTGTCTAGTATTTAAAATATCTGAGAAGCACGGACATAAATCTCGGGTGTGGTCTCGGGAACAAGGTATGGTTCTTACTGCAGGAAACGACGTCGCATTCCTGCTGGCTGCCATCTTCCACCAGACAAAATGGCCGCCCCAGACCGGTAGGGTTACGGCAGTAGTTGTTATCCATGTTGGCCCAGGGGTACGCGGCTGGGTAGAACCCTTCCTGCGCAGCGGACCACTTCACACACTCTGCCCCGGACTTGGCTGTACTCCGTGTGCCGCGGTAGTTCATCCCGCCACCGTGGTAGCAAACTGAGGAGGAAAAACGGCCACAAATCAGCAATTTATCCTACAGGTAAACAAATAAATGCACCTCTAAATGCATGATTGTTCTTAAATACCAGGGAATGGGAACATGCCAAATGCTATAGCCAGCAGTCTATTTCTCTCTTTACCTTCGCCGTTCCTTGTCGCTGGTTCAGGGTTCCAACAACCGTGCTGTGGTGGTGGAAACAAGTCACAGGTAGGGAACTGCTTCTTCATCCGGGGATCAGCCATGTTGAGGACTTCCTCACACCACGAACGGCACGGTAGCAGTGGTTTGTTCCTAAGTACACAGGCAGATTTAGGAATATCAACATGAGGTTTTCTTACTTCTAAAACACACACCTGCCTACCTGCCTAAATGCCTAGGCCAGAACTGGCCCCTTGCACCTCTGCACTTTCTCCCTCCAGGCAGCACGGTCCTTAGCCTTTTGTGCTGCGACCTTGAGGGGCCATCCAGTGTCAGACACTATTTGGTCCCGCCATCTTTTGGGGGGTCTTCCTCTTGGTCTTGGGTTATTAAAATCCTGATGGTAGGCCCGGTATACAAATGAGTCTGGGGGTCTCCTCTGTACATGTCCGAACCACTTCAGTCTTCTTTTACGGATGTTATCAATAATTGTGCTCTCCACTTTAAGCATAGCGCGTATTTCCTCATTTCTTATATGGTCTCTCCTTGAGACCTTCAGGATAGCCCGTAGACATCTCATTTCAAATGCCAATAAGAGTTGTTCATCAATTTTTTTCAGTGTCCACGTCTCACAGGCATAGGTAGCTATTGGTAGCTATTTCGAAAACACACACAAAAAAATGCAATTTAAGCACAGACGTTTAATCATGACGATCAGTCAACCGCTCTTTTAGATAAAAAGAAATCGTCCTGCGGTTCCATAACAAGCTGATAGGGGGCCTTTACTCGCGTGACTTCTAAGCACAAGAGCTACCTTCCATCTAATGTTCATGACCCTAGAATGTCCCGATTGCGAAATATCAAGACCAGAAGTTCCGCTGCAGTACCAAGGGAAGCCACGAGGGACCCAAAATCCTATCATCTTTGGATTTAGTCACACCCTACCAACCCTGCAAGTATGAAACCAATCCTCCTGTCGTTCTTGAGTTATCTTGTTGACAAAAAATTCAATTCCCTGAATGCTTTACGTGGAATTCTTAGAATATTTTCACCTCAATCGCAGTACTATTTCAGCGGCTCCGCCCCTTAGACGTCGTCAAAAACATGATCAACGTAACGAAGTATGTTTACTCACATGCAAGAGGTCGCGTTGTCTGCATGACGAGACAAAGAGCAGGTAGTGTCGTTCTCTTTGGGTACAGCACATTGCGGGAAAATCACCGTAGATGCGAATTCCCGGAACTGGGGGTGTCGGTTCTGTCCGTTTGCGGACGAACTGTTGAGCAGCTCCACGACAGAGGAATTCTGTATCTCTTCAAACGTCGTCTGACCCAGCTGATTGGGTAACATTGTAAGTCTACCGCCGAGGTTGAAATCCACAGGAATCGGCAGGCACTCTGCATATTACAAAATAGCCATTGTACAATTCACATTCTTTAAACATCGACAGGAGGCACTGACAAAGATGTAAAAATGATCCATTAAGAATTCTGCCCGAAATGCAAGTTGAAATTTTTTTTGGCAGCATCAAGAAATCATCGGACTTTTACCATAATTCTATTCTTTTATTTCTATTTATTTTCCTGTTACTTTCAATTTTTTCAGCATTAAGGGCCACGACAAAACAAATAGTATAATCAACAGACTTTGGATGATGGGAGTTAATATTGTGAGAAAAGCATGACGGTAACAGGAGTAAATAATGCTCAATATCAAGACCTTCTTCCATTGAAAAGAAAATTGAATCTACAAGTAAGGTTATTGTACGAGCAACTGTATGTGCAGGTGAGAACTAAAAGGACTTTGTGAGAGCAGCTTACCACAACCGTCCTCGTCACTCCCGTCCGAACAGTCCGTCCTCCCGTCACACCGCCTCCAGGTCAGGGTGCAGGCATGTCCGTGTCCGCACCGGAAGTACCCGAGGGGGCAGCGGATCGCTGTGTAAGGAAACAGCCTGTTAGGTAGAACTGTAACATTTGCAATGTCACCGTAACATGGTCCAGCCCAAGTACTGATCGGGTTATTTTGACTATCAAGTTGATAGTGACCAGCCCCTCCAGCTTGTTCCGTCATATTGTTACATAATTTATTCCAACACCATATTGGTGACCAGCCGTCCCTGGAGGTCGGCCCTGCCACATTGCTACATCAATATAACCAAACAAAAAGGATCACTGTGAGACAGGAGGGACAACCGTGTGGTCCGAGTCATTGATAATAATTTGGAGTTGAAGGAGAGGAAACGGAACAAAATAATGTTACTAATTTGCGGAGGTAAAGTTGACATAATTTTGACATACCGTCCTTCCGCTGGCAGATGAAGTAGGATGCAGACGAGCACGGCGCGTCGTTCCATCCGGCCCCGAGGTGGTTGACACAGCCTTCTCCGTTACTGTTGGGTTCCCCCGGCTGCCACCCAGTCCAGTCTGCGGCTGGGCTGTATGGAGTCCCGTCTTCCCACGCCCACCCTCCCTCTCCGTTCTGATTGTTCAGGCCCAACCAGAAAGGAGAGTTGGGATCCACGGCGTTCTTGAGGTCCAACAAGAAGTCGTCCACTTCTCTGTCCTTCGGCATGGCGAGGAGCCCCCCGTCCGCTGCACACACCTGTCTGGCCTGACTGTAGGTTTTGTCTTGGTTGTATGCCTTGAAGCACGAACCCCCGTGAGCGTTGTAACCCATTGGACAACCTACAGAAATATTTAATCTTTTAAGCTTGTTAAAAATCAAATTCATACTATTTTAGGAAACTAGTTCATAACTGCATAGAGAACTGGTATCCTCCATACAATAACTCTCAGACTCGATTTCCTCTTCTCGACAAACCAGTCACTGTTAAACTCTCCCACTCCGACTCGACTGGAGCAATGTGATTTTAAATCGGTTCCCATTGACTGACAGGAACAGAAATTGGCACAGTATTAGGTCTTAACTGGACACCACGTTATGTACAATATGTACCAAAGACAACAATTGCTAATCTTAGGATGCGCTTCTTACACTTCTTCATTCGGACACAATGATACGTATATATATATACATATATATATATATTAGTGGTCGGACCCTGTTGCCTACAGAAAAGAGGTATAAAACCTGTCTGAATATGTACTTACCAGTGGTCACGCCAGGAGGCGCTGCCGTGGACAGGTAGATGCCGCCTGCCCATGCCAGACCCTCCACCAGGACAGTCTTGGTCAAGTCTGACTTGGATAACCTGGGGGATTGAAACAGAGCAACTTATTGTGTCTGTTCAAGTATGGATATATGTATTTATGCATATACCTAAATTATATCCATATGTATGTATGTAGGTATGTGTGTGTTTGTATGTATGTCTGTGTTTGCTTGTTTGTGTGTGTGTCTGTGTGTCTGTGTGTGTATGTCGGTGTTTGTTTGTGTGTGTCTGGGTGTGTATGTCTGTGTTTGTTTGTTTGTGTGTGTGTGTGTGTGCGCGCGTTTGTGTCTGTGTGTTTCTCTCTTTGTGTGCGTGTGTGTGTGTGCATGTCTGTGTTTGTTTCTGTGTGTGTGTCACCGCATGAAACCCCTCGTTTCCGTGTTAGAAATTGTCGCACACTTTCCCGGAACCCTTTCCTAAATAGACAAGCATTGTAAGCTATATACACTAGCTTATCCTTACCCCACATACACCACTATAGTACAGTATTGGACCAGGAGGGAAGGGTAACATGGATAAACAGCAATTCATCGGGCACGTTTACCACAGAGACAAGCTGAAGCCTTTCGCACCGAAGTACCTACCTCCCGAAAGTCTTTAAATCCCCTGCTAGTATCATCACAGGGGAAGAACGAACCGCTCTCAAAGATTTGGCCACCAATCAAGTTATAGTCACGTATGAGCTTTTTAGCCAAGATTTTGGGACCACTAGTGGGGAAATCTCAGCATCATGTTCAGAATAGTCCTGATTTTGTCAACTAAATCAAAGGAACTAAAAGAATGTACTTTTTTCTGTTAATAAAAAAACATGTTTCTAAACATCATGAACAGCTATTGTTTATGTAAAACGAGTAGTAAGCCCCAAATGGGGCCTTTTATATGCAAAGAAACAAAGGCGTTTACTTCTCGGTACAAAGACCACATGGCCGAAGGCTACACTTGGGAATACATTCGTGCAATTTTGACATCATTTTAAAGCGATCTTAGTACACAAATGCCTCCGTCACTGAGACGTCGCCAAAAACAAACAATAAAAGTAGAAAACCTCTGAAAACCACGTACATGGAGTGAAACACATCTTTTGTGAGCATCCGTTCATGTTACTAAGAAGAGAAGAAGGTCTCCCGTGCTCTTACCCGAGCGTAGGGTGGTGCCCATCTCCATTTCGTAGCCCTTGGGCGACACACACTTGTGCAATGCACTACAGAAGGGTAGTGCTGGAGTAGTGCTGTGTGTTTGACCTTCCCACACTCTTTTTCATATGTGCTTAGTGCTAAGCGGAGAAAGAAGTGTGTACCATTTCGTCTTTGGTATGACCCGGCCGGGGTTTGAACTCACGACCTCCCGGTTACAAAGCGAGCACTCTACCAGTTGAGCTATTGTACCGGTTACTAAACTTTGATCAAAATATGAAGCAAAAGGTCCGTTTTCAATAGCTTCCGGACGATATAATGTACCCCAAATGGTAACGCACATCAGGTGTGGGGATTCCGTACCCAGTCTTATTTTCAACTTAGTTTACCGGAATAACTATCACACAAAGGACGACGGGATTATTTTTGCATACTGAGGTCGGGCGTGGAAGCCCTGGGGCATGGGGCGCTATTACGGAACGCCGTCGCGAAACGATCGCTTTTATTGGCCAATGGAGCCGTGGACTAAATCCTTGGTCAATACTTATCCTAAGTCAGTACAAAACCACCAACTTGAAGGTAACCTAGATATAATCCACCTCCTACTAAAGAAACATAAGCCATGTTTACAAAATAAATACACTTAACACTTAATATAACATCGAGCACTTAATATAACATTGAGCAGAAGAAAAGGACATCGGCAGGGGAATACATACATTAATGTTTACTAGATGAATCGGATTTTCTTACATTCCGACTTTCCCTTGGCTTGATGGATTAGAAAAAGTAGACGACCAGTAGACGTAGTTCTCGTCAACAGCAATCCCCCGCACATACTTCCTTCCTTCAGACAGCAGTTGTTGTCTATTGTTACCCAGCAGGTCTGAGCTGAACATGCGGGTCGCATCAGAGTAGTACAGCCGGTCCTCTAAATGAGAGAAATAAACAAAGGATTTATGCACCTATCAATGTGAATACTGCAACTGTTGAGCAAGATTACAGAGAGGATAGACGTGCACATATATAATATCTTACACCAAGGACGTTCAATCATGATTGAACGTTATGTATTAATCATGATTGAACGTCCTTGCTAACACGTAGAACATATTTATTTAAACCACTCCTGCCCTCATACAATACAATAAGTCAGGTAACACCGACCTACTAAAGGATGCATTTCAAAATGTTACTTTTTGATTAATAATTCTGTGTATAAATAACTATATTAAGTAAATTATTTATTGCTGTGTTGTTTCTCACCTCTAAAGTCTATTGTAACGCCGCGGGGATCAGACACGCCCGTGATGATGGTGGTTTGGTTACTGCCGTCCATCGCAGCACGGGCAATTCTGTCATTACCCTCGTCCCCCCAGTACATGAGTCTGTGAAAGGACTCAAGCAAACAAAACGTCTTATCTCCGCCAAATTTTCATACATGTTATTAAAAGCGTTATTAGATTATTATTATTACCATAAATGATATAGATTATTCATAATGATAATATAATCCACATAATCCCTACACATCGATGGTCTCTGCCTAAAGCACACATATGGCAAAATAAGAGGTCACAACAAAACAGTAACATGATATTCCAGGAGTCCGGAACACCAGATCAAGTTTTATTACCCTCGCCAAGAAGGTTATGTTTTCAGGCGTTCGTGTGTGTGTGTGTGTGTCTGTAAACAATAACTCAAGAAGGCTTAAATGTATTGTCTTCATATTTGGTAGGCGGGTAGGTCTTGATTAGACCTCGGAATGATTAGTTTTGGGGCCCCTAGCGGCTTGTTGTGGTACTGCATCGTAACTTCCGATTTTGATATCTCATGATCTGGAGGTGATAGCTATCACGAAATTTTAATGGTAGGTAGGAATAGTGCTGGGGAAGAAGTGACGTAGGTTTTGGCCACCTAGCGGCTTGCTCAGGAACTGCAAGGATGGTTCTTTAAAATACTTTATTACCTTCGCCAAGAAGGTTATGTTTTCAGTAGGGATTGTTCGTCTGTTTGTCTGTTTGCTTGTGAACAGCATTACTCAAAAAGCTTTACATGCATTGTCATGTAACTGAGTAGGTTGGTACGTCGTGATTTGATCTAAAAATGTTTAGATTTTGGGCCCCTTGGCGGCTTTTATTGGTACTGCAGCAGAACTTCCGGAGCATTTGTTGAAAAATCTACGAAGGAGGATAACTCAAGAACCGGTTAACAGATCGTCGTAATTTAGGTAGCTTAAGTGATACCTGGCATAAGTATGCGACAATTATGCAAATCTGGATGTAATCTGCATAATGTATGAGGAAACTCTATAAATCAGCTGTATTACATTAAAGAACTCTTCAAGCTTGTGACATATGTAATTGAGAATGAGTGAAACACAGGCAAATAAACACGTATTTTACATAATTAATGAGAAAATGTTAGAATTACATAATGGTAACTGCCTGGAATTTCATACTTTGGGTATTTGAAAGTTAAGTGAAGGTGAACATTATTAACTGATTCAAATAAGGACCTCATTTGCATAATTTATGACGAAATAATAGAATGGATTTCTTTGTTAAGGCTGTCTTTTGGTGGAGAATATAATCAACTGATGAGGGGCCTATTTGCATAATCAGGAGGAATAATCTTTATCAGTCATAAAGATTAACCTCATTTGGCGAATGTATGAGGTCGTGAAGTCTAGTTACCAGTAGGATGTTAATGAAAGTTTGCACTATGACGTATTTAAAACGATGGACTGGTTGAAATGCATCGAATTTACAAACGTTAACGTACACAGCCCTGTCCCCATTTATGTATGACTGTTCCTATTTATATAAAATACCTCATTTTGAATGTATTTTACTCACCCATTCCTGGGGTCCAGGACCAGGCCCCAAGGACGACTGACGGCTGATGACGTCAGAAGTGTTCTAGTTGACGATCCATCCATCTTTGCTACAGAGATGGTGTTTTCAGTCCAATCAGTCCAGTAGATATCCCCTCTAGCGTGGTCCAACGCCAGGCCATAGACCTCTGCATACAAAAGTGAGGACGTTTTGTAAAAAATATGTTTGAAAATGCACACGTCAAGAAGCTTTTGATATACATACATGTACTATATAATAGAAAATTCTTATATACGGAACAGTTCACGACAACATCGCAGTAAACACAGTAAGATTCCCCAATAATGCCGGGGTAACACCAATAAACATGTCGTTATTACAAATAGGCTTCCAGTCCAACCTGAGATATCCATAACGTGTCACAGACAAAACAACCCGTCTGAAATATCCCAATAAGGTTTATAGCGGGAAGTCATGTTCACAGTTACTTACTCCAGATTCCTATTTGGAATAACGACCTGTTTTGGATTCAGAACCTCAAATCTGAATTCTTTGACTAAAATCTATTTATAAATGCAAAACAAAACACAGATGTGAAAAAAACAACAACAAAAAGCTGTATAACTTTTCAGCCATTCTCTTAAACTACATTTGGTTGACAAATGGGATCCTCCATACCGCTGCTTTGATTGTATAATTACACACTTATCTGTAGCATAGTTTACAGTAAAAAACAATCATTGTTAAAAAGTTCGGAACGAAAGAAAAAGCAAGTACTACGAAACCTCCACCAGTATTTTAAATTTTCCTAATCAGTTATGCAAGTGATTCTCCGATGGACTTTTCCAGAGAAACACCGTAAGCACCGCTACCTGTTCTATTTAGAATCTTTGGCGGGTCAGTCTCAGAAGATTATCAAAATCAGCACAGGAAAGGTCGCGCTAGTGTTCTGAAATTTTGGTTTCTGATGAATCAGGCTGGGATTAACATGGTGTTTGTGTGTGTGTGTGTGTGTGTGTGTGTGTGTGTGTGTGTGTGTGTGTGTGTGTGTGTGTGTGTGTGTGTGTGTGTGTGTGTGTGCGCGCGCGCGCGTGGGTGTGTAAAGCTAAATGTTTTAAAAAAACATGAACACAATGAGAGAATTAGCTGGGCCCTTACATCTGCTTGAGGACTATCCTGATAGATATCCTCTTTGTAAGACCACACATCATCATGTAGTGTTGCGGTTTATTGTTTATTGAAAACCAAAACCCATCGCAGCCTTAATAATTGCCTCCAATTGCAATGAAAACATAATGTTATGATATTTTAACTCACTGCTGATGTCTAAGATGGTCTCCCTGCCACTTCCATCACGACGAGCCCGGTGGATTTTCTTGTTCCGGTTATCTGACCAGTACACGTAGTCCGTGAGCGGGTCGTAGTCCAGGGCGTATGGCTTTCTTACATCTCCGAGCGGAAGCGTGGTGTTCGATCCGGAAGTGATGTTAACTTGAAGAATTTCTCCTGTGTCGTCAGCTACCAATAGGAATGGCTCACTGATGTTACTGGAGCCGGGGTCTCCTAAGGACAAAAGGTGGAGGAAATATTAAAAAACAGATTTTTCCGAACAATCGTGTCATGTCTTAACCCTACCTAGAGGAGGGGGGGGGGCTACATCAATTTCACATCCACATAGCCTAGCGGCGACCAATGGGTGACCAGCATTCCGCGCCACGCCCACTTTGCGGTCGATTCCATTCGACAATAGGGTTGAACAGCATCCTTCCGTACGGCGCGGCAGGTAATCGGAGTTGGAAATGTCAGATAAACAATGTAAGAATTGGTGTATTTGGGGTGAAAATAATGCAAGTACCGAAGTTATGGGTTCCTTTCTCAGCACTCGGTATACAGAGGTGAGGCGGCTTCCGTCCTAGATCTCCAGTGCCGAAGGTACGTCAACACTTGGTGTGTCGGCGGCTTCAGCACTGGAAACTCGGAATCGGCAAATCAAACCTTGTCGTTTAAAAAGGGTATCGAGATGCTGCCACTCATATTTTCGAGATCATACCGCCTGGGTAACAAAGTTTAATCGGGACAACAAGGTTATCGGCAGGACAGGACTGCAAGGCCTCTTTTCTTACATTTTCACAGACAAAGACTTGGCCTAAGATACTGTTTTGTACGCCGCGCGGCCGACGTAAGCACCAGAAGCCCAGTGCCGAAATGGTTTAACTCGGCTCGGTAGTTATTTTGCTCCAACTATTCAAAGACACAGGATTTCAGAAAACAATTTACAAATGTATCTTTTGAACAAGTTTGAGAAACATCTTTTTCAACCATATCTTGCTAAAGCGCGGGTTGTGGGTGTGGCCGAAATGCTGTTAGCCTATTGTTACATGATAGGCTGGCTTTAATGCTACCTAGACCGGGGGGGGGCTAGTGTCCGCGGCAACTTTGATGTCACCTAGCGTCTGAACGGCTAGCGCTAGAACGGCCAAACTTATTGACTTTCCTAGAATATTGTTAGCAACAATTCTCTATCATTGGAATAAGATAATAATTTTTTGTGTTGCCATGGCAACGGGTTTCTGACAGGCATTTTTTGCTAAGTTTAGTACTTTTTGTTTCAACAATAGAATTTTATGGGTTTTATGTCAAGTTACTTATGGTTTCTAATATTAATAACATCACATATAATCTTATGTACATTTTATCATTAAATATGCATAATTTATGCTAATTTGATGTCATTGGCCAAAATCCAAGATGGCGGACCATATCATTAGAACAGTTATATACAGGTTATTTTCATTAAAATGTCATCAATACTTCCGTTTCTTTTTCCAAAAAAAGGTTTAAATAAAGGTCTTTAGTATGTGTACAATGTATTTAGGCTTTATCATAAAAAAAACTATTTTTGAAACTATTTTTGAAAAGATTGATGATCCAAGATGGCGGATATCTTAAATATGCATGACGTCATTTTATGACGTCACCGATGTTGCTATGGGCAACATAAGACTTAGTACACCCTAACATTCTGTCATAAACACTTTTGGTAAAGTTATGTTAAATACCATTTAGTTTTCAGGGAAATACCTATCTAGGCCGTTTTGGCCAATAAAATCACATTAATAGCGTCATAATGACGTCATATTACGTCATAACGACATAAAATTGATATGATACATTTTCACTAGTACACCATCCTCTGAAAATTTGGTGGTCATATGACATACCGTTCGCGAGTTCTGAGGGGGGGTCAAATGAGCCCCCCCTGGTCCCCCCATGCCAAAAAAAGCCCGGTCTAGGTAGGGTTAAATTATTATCTACTTAATTCGTACTTTCAAAAACTATTTGCTCATTTATAACGATCGCCAGGCAAAAGGAAGTGAAATATGGCGTGGCATTAAGGTGCTTTATTGCCACTATTTGGAACTCCGACCCGGAACCTTCCGATCTCCGCCAGGCAGATTCACAATGGAGCAATTAGACGACTATCGTATTTCAGACATCGCTTTTCTCAAAACAGTTATAACGGGGGGGAAATCTGCTCTGGACTTTAGCTATGGATATGTGTTGTTTTCGTGGATTCGCTGCTGCATACTTGCAGAACACGTTCTTAAAGTTGGTATCGATGACGTCAGGCAGTGACGTCACCGGTTCCCCTGGGAAAAACATGGGTTGCGTTTTTGGCTCGTCGCTTTAAAGTGAAAGGAATAATATGTCGGATTTTGGTCTTGAATGATAGAATGATGAGTTGGCACTTCCCAAATTAATGTAGTTTGCCATACATTGTACCATTTGCAATTGTCGTGCAATAAAGTTCTTTCTTATACGTCAACAATCTTGAATTTATATGATCTGGGTGCTGATTAGCTTGTGCCAAATAAGGCAAGCTCATTAATATGTAGAGCCACGTCGTTCCGGAGTAAGTTTGTGTGGCCAGAATGGCAGGGTCGGTTGCAGAGGTATAGAATACCGCGCCACCGACCGTGCCTCGGGAGGATGATTAAGCACAATGCTACACAAATGTGTGAAACACTGAATTCTTACGCAGGAGCAAAACACAACCTTGTTGATGCTGCCGTAGCTAGGAGCGAGCAGTTATAAAAAGCGCTAGATACATGTGTGGAGGCTATCTCTACACACCACCCAAAGAAAAAAAGACCGCCAAGGAGCCTTGAACCGATCTGATTTCAAACTCGGAAAATTAAGTTTTGCCTTAAGCGGGCTTAAAAATGTAATTTAATTTTTAGCGTAAAAACTCAATGTCACCGCAAATGGAGGAACATCGCCAGAATTATGTCTAAGTATAAAACGCAGCACTGCATCAAAAGTCAGATTTCCAAGCTTGGACACGTTGGTGAAACCCGACGTGCCCTTGCCGCGTACTCGAGCAACCAAATTACCAAACAAAATACCTACTGCAAAATCAAAACACAATTCTGTCAGAATCTAAATCTCTTATCAATCCAAAACAAACCATTAAAAACAGCATAACAAAACTTAGGATTAGTGCCCACTCTCTGTAAATTGAAAAAGGTAGCTACAGTAACACACCAGCCAATGAGAGACTGTGTCCCACATGCCATAAAGACGTTGAAAACGAATTCCATTTTAGATTGTCTAACTTATGATGTGGACAAACACAATTATTACACTATATTGCATGTAAGACCGATATAACGCTACCTCATACAAAGATAGCATGGGACCGCGCCGTTTTGTCCGACGACGTCTCTGCGTACCTCACACGCTCATATGATTTCCAATAGAGACCGGGCCCTTTGTCAGAAAACTTCACGCTCGTCGGCAATCAACATGAGTTTTCAGTAGAGACCGCGCACTTTGATAGACAACGTACCTGATCGCGAGTGCTTCACGCTCGTCGGCAATCATATGATTACCAACAGAGACCGTGCCCTTTGTCAGACAACGTACCGTGATACTTCACGCTCGTCGGCAATCATATGATTACCAATAGAGACCGCGCCCTTTGTCAAACAACATACCTTGATACTTCACGCTCGTCGGAAATCAACATGACTTTTCAATAGAGACCGAATCGCTTTTTTCAGACAACGTACCTGGCTATAAAACAGGAGAATGAAGTTGTTGAGGTCAGTCGTTACTCCGCCCACATCTGAAAATGACAGCTATGGCTCTGTATCCTCCGTGCATCTTGTGTCGGGAATTAGTTCTACCGAAACAGGACGCCTTGCATGCACATTATTTGTTTATTTGTTTATTTGTTTATTTAAATTTTTCACAAAGTGAAAGGGAGGGCAAAACAGGTGCGAAGCACCTTTGCTAGTTGCCCTCCCACATACAAAAACAACAAGAATGTACATTACACAGTCAACAATCTATAATACAAGTAGGGCACAAAATATCATATAAACATAATCAAGGTAACAACAATGAATGGAAGAGATGACCATATCGGAACGATATCTAGTGAGGTCTTGAGGCAATACAAGAGCTACATCCACACGAAGTGGTCCAGGTACATGGCAGATCAAGACTGTATTGAGTGTTGAATCTGTTGTAGGCTACTTTTGCCAGTTTATGTTTAAATGCTATGATATCAGACTGATGAGCGGCTCGCACACCAGTACCACGAAGGTCAGAACCTAACTTATTCCAGATAGTTACAAGTCTGGGAATGTAGGAGTGACTGAACGCTGACGTCTTAGATCTGACAGGTGTAAGCATGTACGACCTAAGACTCCTCGTGGGTCTGGTGGGAAGTGTGATATATTTCTCTATGATTGCTCTTGATTTGACAAATAACATTATATCGCATACCTCACGCCTACATGTAAGTGGCAACAGCCCTGTTGTTGCTAGCCTTTCCTTGTAGGTAAGGTGACTGGCCTGAGGGCCCAGAATGAATATGGTTGCCCGGCGTTGAACCCCTTCAATTAGAGACATAAATTTACGAGAATGTGGCGACCACAATGGGGAGCAATAGTCAAGAATGCTTCTGACCAGTGTGGTGTATAGAGCTTTCTTAACGTCAGTGTTAGCATTGAAACCAACAGTCCGTTTGATGAAGCCAATCATGGAATTCGTCTTGGCAACCATTTTCACTATGTGGCTGTCCCACTGTAAGTCTGGCTGTACAATAACCCCTAAATCATTCATGCTGTCAACAGACGATACAATGGAATCAAAAACACAATATGTATACAGGATTGGCCTCTTAGAACGGGTCAAACGTAACAGCTTGCATTTGGAAGGGTGAAACGACATCTTCCATTTTAAACTCCAATTGCACATGGCTGTGACATCGTCCTGCAACTTGGAACAATCATTCATGTTACAAATTTCCCGAAAGCATTTGGAGTCATCTGCAAAAAGAGCAACGGAGGAGAATTCAACTGTACAGGGCAAGTCGTTTATGTATAAAAGAAAAAGAAAGGGCCCCAGAATGGAACCCTGGGGAACACCAGATGTTACTGGAAGCCAATGAGAATGGCAACCTTCAACCACCACCCTCTGACGACGGTTAGTGAGATATGAACTGAACCAGGCTAAGAGATTCCCCCCAAAGCCAAATGATTGTAGCTTATGAA